CTCCAATGCTTGCTCCCCTCCCCTCCCCGCGCATGCTCCTTTCTCCTCACCTCCCCACGTGTGCGACTCTCTGCTCACCCTGCGTGCGGCTCTCGCCTCCCCGCACGTGCTTCCCCCTCCTCACCTTGCGAGCTTCTCTCGCCTCCCCGCGCGTGCTCCTCACTCCTCCCCCTGCGTGCTCCTCTCGCCTCCCCGCAAGTGCCCCTCTCTCCTCACCCTGCGTGCTCCTCCCGCCTCAACGCACGTGCTCCTCTCTCCTCACCAAAGGGCGTCCTCAAGCCTCCCCGCGCGTGCTCCTCTCTCCTCCCCGCGCGTGATCCTCTCTCCTCACCGTGCGCCTCTCTCCTCACCGTGCGAGCGCCTCTCTCCTGACCTTGCGTGCTCCTCTGCTCCTCTGTTCCCCCTCTCCCCCTCTTTTTCTGCCCTGCTCCACTTTTCCCCCCTGCTCCTCTTTCGCTCTCTGCTTCTCTTTCCCCCCTCTGCTTCTCTTGTCCCCCTCCACTCATCCTTGCCCCCTCGCTCCCTTCCATCCCACTCAACTGCCTCCCCTCGCGTGCTCCTCTCGCCTTTATAGCGAAATGAGGGTCTCGCCTCATTTCGTTGCCTCCCCACACCATCCCGCATGAGCGGCTCCTGCCACCCCTCGCGTTCTCCTCTCTGTTCACCCACTCGTTCTCGTCTCGCCTCCCCGCGCATGCTCCTCTTTCCACGCCTTGCGCGCTCCTCTCGCCACCCCTCGCGTCCTCCTCTCGCCTTTATAGCGAAATGAGGGTCTTGCCTCATTTCGTGGCCTCCACCCATCATCCCGCGTGTGCTCCTCCTGCCACCCCTCGCGTTCATCTCTCTGTTCCCCTACTCGTTCTCCTCTCGCATCCCCGCGCATGCTCCTCTCTCCTCACCTTGCGCGCTCCTCTCGCCACCCCTCGCGTGCTTCTATCACCTCCCCTCGCCATCTCCCCTCGGACAGGTGGGGTGCTCCTCTCTCCTCACCTCCCGTGCCCCACTCTGACAGGGCAGGGTGCTCCTCTCTCCTCACCTCCCGTGCCCCACTCTGACAGTGCAGGGTGCTTCCGGACCTGTTGTTTAGTGCCTGACCTGCCCACCCTACCCTACACAGCCAACACAATTCAATGACCTGCGTAATCCTCTGTTCCCCCCCCCCCCCCCCCCCCCCCCCCCCCCTCCCAACCCATTCACTCCCTAACCCCTCCCTCTCCCTTGTTGTTCTCTGCCTGATGTTCCCTTTTCTCACCCTCTAAACCAGTCCACCTCATCAGCCATGTCTTCATGGAGACGTACTCCTCGGAGACGGCTGACGCTTGGATTCAGGATAGGGAAATGTGGGCGAGGGGGCCGCCATGAGTGCGGCGGGAATGGAATTTAGTGCCAAGGGCAGGGAAACCAGGGCGACGGGGTGGAAATGTGTGAGAGGGGACGGGAAATTAGTGCGACGGGAAGGGTGATGTGGGCGACGGGAAGGGAAACGAGGGCGACGGGAACGGAAGTGAGTGCGACGGGAAGGGAAATGGGGCGACGGGAAGGGATTTGTGGCCGACGGGTCCGGTAATGAGGGTTCTCGGGAAGGGAATGGAGGGCGACCGGACTCGGGAAGTGTGGGCGTCTCGAAATATTGGATACGAGGGCGACGGGCCGCGAAATGCGTGCGACGGGAAGCTGAAATGCGTGCGACGGGAAGCTGAAATGTGGGCGTCGGGAAGTTGAAATGTGGGCGACGGGAAGCTGAAATGCGTGCGACGGGAAGCTGAAATGCGTGCGACGGGAAGCTGAAATGCGTGCGACGGGAAGCTGAAATGCGTGCCGCGGGCCGCTGAAATGCGTGCGACGGGAAGCTGAAATGTGGGCGACGGGAAGCTGAAATGTGGGCGACGGGAAGCTGAAATGTGGGCGACGGGAAGCTGAAAATGTGGGCGACGGGGGGCTGAGATGAGCCCGACGGGAGGCTTCTCACCATGCGCTATGTGAATGGCCGGCGCTCGCAAACGGCGGGGAGGGCCCACGTGAGGGGCAGGGAGGAAGGCTTGATGCTGGGGGCGCCTCGAGCGCGTGGGAATCTAAGCTGCACCGAGTGGTGGCGTAACAAGGCTATGTGGGGCGCCCCGTCTCATACGTCCGCCCTGTTCCCTATGTGTGTGTCCTCAACACCCTAAAAATCGCGCCTTTCCGGGTCCATCGATTAGGACATTCGCTCCTAATGGCTCCTCCTCGTCTTTCTAGAAGCTAAGGTGGCGCCTGGTTGAAGGGGACTTAGGAGTAGTTATGTTTGTTCGAGTGCCTGAGTTTGCCTGTTCAAACTGTGCACACTTTCCCTTCGCGTGCTTCTCAGGTGAGTCGAACTTGGGAAGATGGGCCGTGTGCCATGTTTGTTCCAACCAATCAGCAAGTGCACAGTTTGTGGCGAACTGTTTTCAGTCGCAAGGTGGTTTTGTTTTTTTCGCGTGTCACTCAACCCATCCGAACCTCCAACTGGCAGCCCGCCGAACCTACAAAAACTCAGTTGACCCCCGTTGAGTAATTCAGGTCTTGGGCTTTAACACGCAAGTAGGAGCGAACTCTAGGCCGTCACGGTGACTACATTCAGGACTCCTGAACACTCAGTGATTTCTGAGTCGAACACTCAGTGGCCCTCTTGCGTCGTTTTCATCCCCGTTATTGGTTTGGCGCGATGAAGGTGGTGGCGTTAGTGAGCGGGGGGAAGGACAGCTGTTACAATATGATGGAGTGTACGCGTTATGGACATGAGGTGCGTGCCTTACGCGATATAGAGACGGGATAACGGATCGAGAGGAGTCGAAAGGACGGTGCATCAGCATGCCATCCCCATACCACCATAGTGTCACGCCTCGCTGTGATCACTTTAACCTCACGATTTGTAGGCTCAAGAATAACCTTATCTGCCGTTTCAGATCCCTCGTCAAGAGGCGTTTCGGAGTATGCCCCTACCCCTCCCTACCGCACGTTCCGTTATTAACCTCCTAATCACAATCAGGGATAGTTGAGAACATGCCAAGCTAGGCTTACAACCCGAACCCTTCAAAATGTTTCTCTGAACCTTCAAATCTCAAACCCTCAACCCTGAACCTCCGACTTCTCCTTGTGGTTCTGATTTTAATCCCGAGACTCAACCTACATGTTCAATATTGTCGCATGGCATGGCATGATATGGCATTGAATGGGAGGGGATGGCGTGGCTTGGATGGCATGGAATGCATGGCATAGCATCGATGGGATGGCATTGGCTGGAACGGCATGGGGTGAGAGATGGCATGACATGCAATGGCATGTGACGGCACGGGTGGTATGACATGTAATGGCATCAGGTGGTGGCGTTGGCGAATCTGCTGCCATCAGATGATGAAACGGACGAGCTGGACAATTTCATGTTCCAAACCGTACGTTGCATTCTCCATCCCAGCAACAACTCGGCAGCGCATTTAAGGCGACTAATAATTCAGGCTCTTCTCGCAGGTTCATACCTGTGTATGGTGCATGCTCCTGCTGTGATACATGCAGTGCACCTCACACATGCATATGCGAAGGCACAGGCACAAATAGGAGTTGCACCCCAAAAGCTATTCATCGGTGCACTTCACACATGCATATGCATTTACTGGACCACCACGACCTTCACATCACTTCATGTTTCATGTTCCTGTATCGCACCACGACCTGCACTGCTGGTTTCAGGTGGTTCCTCAGGTGATTTCAGCCTACGCCATGCTCCATCATTCACTCCCCCCTTCCTGTATGTGTCCCACCACGCCTGCCCATTCTGACAATTTCAGGTGGGCCATCAGATTGAGGAGTAGTATATATGCCTTTTAAGTCGTCTCAAAATCCTCCCAATTCTCCCCGCCCCTCCCTGTACCCACCACCCCTGCCTTCTCTGTTGGTTTCAGGTGGGCCATCAGGTGATTGCAGCATACGCCACGTGCATGGGGTTGCCTCTCTTCCGCCGCCGCATTAAAGGCTCCTCCAAGTAAGCTCGCCCCGCCCCGCCCCGCCCCGCCCTGCCCTGCCCTGCCCTGCCCTGCCCTGCCCTGCCCTCCCTCCCTCCCTCCCTCCCTCCCTCCCTCCCTCCCTCCCTCCCTCCCTCCCTCCCTCCCTCCCTCCCTCCCTCCCTCCCTCCCTCTCACCCCTCCCTCTCACCCCTCCCTCTCACCCCTCCCTCTCACCCCTCCCTCCCTCCCTCCCTCCCTCCCTCTCACCCCTCCCTCCCTCCCTCCCTCTCACCCCTCCCTTTTCTCCGATTATGCTCTCTCGTTCTTCCCTCAAAGCCCTCCCAACCCCTCGCTTCCTTCTTATCCAAGCATGATCTCTTACCCATCCCCCCCTCGCTCCCACCCCTTGTCTCTCTGCCCGTGCCTCCTCATCCAAGGCTCGTTCGCTCGCTCCCTCATCCCATCCCCTTCTCACGACTCTCTCCCTCGCCCCACCCTCACCCCCCTCGCACACAAACACGCCAGGCATCGGGCCATGCGGTACAGAGCCACAGCAGGAGACGAGGTGGAGGACACGGAGGTGCTGCTGCTGCTGCTTCCCTTCCCTTGTCACCTCATTCCATCCGCACCCTCATGTACCCTCACTCCCAGATCACACAGAACCACACACTAACTCGCTGGGCATGTGGCATGAGGTGCGATGCCTGATGGCCATGAGGCATTGCACAGCACAGCACAACAACAGGGGACAAGGTGGAGGACATGGGAGTGCTGCGCCTCCCCTTGTCACCCCTATCCACCCTCACCCCTAACCCACTCCCTATCCACCCAACCCAACCCTCGCCTGTTCGTCTTGCCAGGCATGTGGCCATGAGGTACAGCACGACAAAGGGGGACGAGCTGGTTTTTGAGAATTCTCAAAAACCAGCTCGTATGATATGGAGGTGCTGCTCCCTCCATTGTCGCCCTCAGTCCATCCGCACCCTACTCTCATCCACCCTCAACCCCACATTACACGTTCAACCCGCCAGGCATCTGGCCATGAGGTATCACACGAGAGCTGGGGATGAGGTGGAGGACATGGAGGTGGGTGCTGCTCCTTCCCTTTTCGCCTTCAACCGCTCTCCACCCCCCACCCCTCCTGTCAGGCATCTGGCCATGCGGTACAGAGCGACAGCTGGGGACGAGGTGGAGGACATGGAGGTGCTTCTACGGGTTGTGAAGAAACACCTGCCAGGTAGGCACCATTTGTAGCAAGCACCTGCCAGGCCAGGTAGGCACCATTTGTAGCAAGCACCTGCCAGGTAGGCACCATTTGTAGCAAGCACCTGCCAGGTAGGCACCATTTGTAGCAAGCACCTGCCAGGTGAAAACTGGACAGCACCTGCCTGTTCCTGTTGCGTCCCTCCCACAGTTTATACATGCAAGCTGCTCTAGTCTAGACGGCTCCCCAACCACTGTGCTCCTCTCCTTGTGTCCCCCCATTCTCCATCAACCACCACACCAGATGTGCAGGGCGTGTCGGTGGGGGCAATAGCATCGGACTATCAGCGGGAGAGGGTGGAGAACGTGTGCTCGAGGCTGGGCCTCACTCCCCTGGCCTACCTGTGGCAGCGACCGCAGAAGGCACTGCTAGATGATATGGTGAGATGGCGGGGTGGGTGCAGTAGGGTTGAGAGGGAGTGGGGTGGATGCAGTAGGGTGGAGCACGTGTGCTCGAGGCTGGGCCTCACTCCCCTCGCATTCTTGTGGTAGCGACTGCAGAAGGCACTGCTAGACGACATGGTGAGATGGCGGGGTGGTGTGTAACGAGTATGCTATTGCTTGTGTGTGTGAATCCGGTTAGACTGCTAAGAAAATTTGGTTAGATGGCATGGGTTCACCTCACAACCCTCGCCTTGCCTACCTGTGGCAGCAATAGCAGAAGGCACTTCTAGATGCCATGGTGAGGTGATTAGGTGGTTGTGGGGGTGTGGTGGGTTGGGTTGGGTGGGGTGGGGTGGGGTGAAGTGGGGTGAAGTGGGGTGAAGTGGGGTGAACTGGGGTGGAATGATATGGAGCAGATCCGGCCATACAATGGCACGCTGTTACTTTTTGTGTGAGACAGCCTTTGGCAGCCTTCCGGAATTGAACGTAGCTTGCAGCACTCGACTAAACCCCCTCGCCTACCCGTGGCAGCGAAGCGACCACAGAGAGCGCTGCTTCTAAATGCCATGGTGAGTTGGTGAGGGAAACTGTTGAATTGCATCGGTGTGCATGCGATTGCTTGTGTGGAACGGCTGATCCTGCAGTCCACTCAACCCCCTCGCCTACCCGTGGCAGCGACCACAAAGAGCGCTGCTTCTAGATGCCATGGTGACGTGGTGGGGTGGGTTGGGTTGGAGTGCGGTAAGGTGGAGTGAGCTGTGGTGTGGTGATCGCATCGGGCATCCACCCTGTTCTCATGAAAAAGGCTGCTGGTTGTTTGGGGCTATTTGCATCACCATGTTTCCTCCCACTCCACCCTCCCATCCCATTCTCCTCCCCCACCAGATCGCATCGGGTATCCACACCATTCACATCAAGGTGGCAGCACTGGGCCTGCGGCCTCGAGTCGAGACACAGCCACCGAAGAGTTGCAGGCCCACACTGCTGCAGTGTGCCGTCCCAGTGTCTGACGATCCTCCCATCCCATCCCCTCTCTGTGTTCCTCCCTTCACCAGATCGTATCGGGCATCCATGCCATTCTAATTAAGGTGGCAGCTCTGGGCCTGCGGCCAGAGAAGCATCTGGGGAAGCGGTTGGAGGAGATCCGAGGCACCATGCATGCGCTGGCAGGGTGAGTGAGTGGGGAGCGGAGCATGCCTGTGAGGGCATGTGGATGTGTGTTTGTGTTACCGCACTAGCATGCGCCCCCTTGCTTCTGCACACAACCGTACCTCTGTGCTGCCCTTTATTCTGTCCTTCTCAAGTCTCACCCTCTCTTCCCATTCTCCCATGCGCTGTTCCTCCCATGCGCCGTTCCTCCCATGCGCTGTTCCTCCCATGCGCCGTTCCTCCCATGCGCCGTTCCTCCCATGCGCTGTTCCTCCCATGCGCCGTTCCTCCCATGCGCCATTCCTCCCATGCGCTGTTCCTCCCATGCGCCGTTCCTCCCATGCGCCGTTCCTCCCATGCGCCGTTCCTCCCATGCGCCGTTCCTCCCATGCGCCGTTCCTCCCATGCGCCGTTCCTCCCATGCGCCGTTCCTCCCATGCGCCGTTCCTCCCATGCGCCGTTCCTCCCATGCGCCGTTCCTCCCATGCGCCGTTCCTCCCATGCGCCGTTCCTCCCATGTGCCGTTGTCCCCAGCAAGTTCGGAGTGAACGTGTGTGGGGAAGGTGGAGAGTACGAAACACTCACCCTCGACTGCCCTCTCTTCAAGGTACTCCCCTCTCTTCAAGGTACTCCCCTCTCTTCCCATTCTCTTGGGAAGAAGGACTCCCTTGCCCGCAGGAATCTTTCTGCGAGTCTCCCTCACCCATTCGAATCTTCCCAATCTCCTGTGCTCCCTTGCTACCAACGCCTCACGCTTGACTGCCATATCAGTTCCGCCCTTCAGGTATTTTCTAATTGGACTGCCCTGCCTTTCCCATCACTCGTTGTCAAGAGGGGTCACCTGTGGTGACGGAAATGAGCATGGGCAAGGGAATGGGCACGTGCCCCATTTTTGAAGCAGCAGGGTCGGCATGAGTGTCCGGTATTGGAGGAGGAGAAGGGGTCAGAGATGGGGGAGGCATGTTTGATGCAGTAGCAGACGGAGTGGAAACAGCAATCGTGGCATGTCCGCTGCTGCTGCTGCTTCCGCCACCTCTGTTGTTTCCACTCCGTCTGCTACTGCATCAAACATGCCTCCCCCATCTCTGACCCCTTCCCCTCCTCCAATACCGGACACTCATGCCGACCCTGCTGCTTCAACAATAGGGCCGGTGCCCATTCTCTTGCCCACGCTCATTTCCGTCGGCCCAGGTGACCCCGCTTGTTTTCCACCTGCCCTCCCAGCACTCGTTCTTTCGCAAGCGAGGGACTTTGGTGTTACCTTGAAGCTCCGGCAAGCAGCAATCGTAAAGGCAGACACCTCTCGTATCCCCCCGCATCCCACTCCAACCTTTTCCATTCCTTACCACCTACCCACCCTACATCACCAGCAAGAGCGCATAGAGGAAGACAGCTCGCACATTATACTGCTCTCGCCCAACGTGTGTGATAATTCGATTTTTGAGTCGACTAAAAAATCGACTTATCACACGAGGTAGCCACCGCGCACATCATGCTGCTCTCGCCCAACCCTCCTGTGAGTGAAGAGAAGAGAGAAAGCGGGGCATGATTGCAGTTTGCAGCAAAAAAAGCTGCCTTCGTCTTCCCTGCTTCCTGTCTTCTCTTCGCATCCAGCATACAGCGAGCATGCATAGTGGTGGACGCCTCTCACATCATCCTGCACTCGCCCGACCCCGTGACCCCTGTGGGCGTGGCAGTTCACTAAAGCACAGACTTCCTCTTCCCCTCTTCACATCCCCCCTCCCCCCTCCCCTTCCCCCATTCCCCCCCACGCATACAGCATGCGCGCATAGAGGTGGACAGCTCTCGTATCGTCCTGCACTCGCCAGACCCTGTTGCTCCTGTGGGCGTGCAATGCCTTCCTCATCCCCTCTTCGCATCCCTGCCACCCCCTTCCCCTCCTTTCTCACACCACCAGCATGCGCGCATAGAGGTGGACAGTTCTCGTATCATCCTGCACGCGCCTGACCCTGTTGCTCCTGTGGGCGTGCAATGCCTTTCTCTTCACATCCCTGCCGCCCCCTTCCCATCCTTTCTCACACCACCAGCAAGCGCGCATAGTGGTGGACGCCTCTCACATCATCTTACACTCGCCTGACCCCGTTGCTCCTGTGGGCGTGCTGCGAATCACAGCCTTCCACGTGGCACCCAAGACCCAGGATGGGGCTACTGCTGCTGATGTGGCGCTCCCTCCTCCAATGATCATTGATGCCAATGACGAGGATGCTCTTAAAGAGGTCGGCAATGGCACAGCAGTGGGAGAAGCAGGGGGAGCTACAACCGGAGCAGGGGCAGCAGCGGGAGAAGAAAGCAGGGGGTTGGATGGGGTGCAGGTGGCAGTGACAGTGCAGCGGCATGGGTTCACCCTCGTTGCATGCGACACACAGGGGCACGATGCACGTGGTGAGTCCATTTTTGAGGCGCCTCTTTTGTCATAGGCGTTCAAGGCGCCTCAAGGCACCTTAGAAGGTGGCGGAGACGGTGCAGAGGCGTGGGTTGGCCCTCGTTGCATGCGACACACAGGGGCGCTATTTTTGAGGCGCCTCATAAGGTGCCAGTGACGATGTGGAATGGAGGCATGGGTTTGGTTCGGCCGCACAGCCTGAGACACACATTGGCTCGATGCTGACCTGCATTCACAGCCTTCCCTCTTACAGACCTGTATTCGCACATCTCCCCCATCGGCCCCATCTCCCCCCACTCCCCCACACAGACCTGGCCTCCCATCTCTCCATCGCCCTCTCCTCTGTCTCCCACACCCTCCGCTCGCTCTCCCTCTCCTGGGCGCACGCCCTCTACGTCCACCTCTACCTCGCTGACATGGCGCAGTTCGGCGCCGCCAACTCAGCGTACGTGCGCCACATCACCGAAGCCGAGTGCGTGGACGGCGTGCCGTCGCGGTCCACTGTGGAGCTGCCACTTGGCGCATCGTCATTGGGCGGCAGTGGGGAAATCAGCGCGGAAGGTTCTTGGAAGGGATGCAGTGTTGCAGTTGATGTGCTGGCATGGGGCGAGGGGGAGCAAGCAGTGTGGGGCGAGGGGGAGCAAGCAGTGTGGGGCGAGGGGGAGCAAGCAGTGTGGGGCGAGGGGGAGCAAGCAGTGTGGGGCGAGGGGGAGCGGAAGGGGGAGGGAGTGGTGGCCAAGAGGGGGGAGAGCTGCAGGAGCGGCAGCAGGATGGGGGAGTGAGGCAGCGAGGGGAGAAGCATGTGGTGCATGTGAAGGGCGTGTCCTGCTGGGCACCCTCCTGCATCGGCCCTTACAGCCAGGTACGTGTCCAATTTCCATCTGCCCCAACGACGATGACAATTTCCATCTGCCCCAATGACGATGACAATTTCCATCTGCCCCAATGACGATGACAATTTCCATCTGCCCCAATGACGATGACAATTTCCATCTGCCCCAATGACGATGACAATTTCCATCTGCCCCAATGACGATGACAATTTCCATCTGCCCCAATGACGATGACAATTTCCATCTGCCCCAATGACGATGACAATTTCCATCTGCCCCAATGACGATGACAATTTCCATCTGCCCCAATGACGATGACAATTTCCATCTGCCCCAATGACGATGACGATCTCCATCTGCCCCAATGACGATGACGTTGTCCATCTGACCTCTTCCCCCAAGCATGAGCGATAGATCCTACGTCGACCCCCTTTTCCCACTTCATCTTCTACCCCGTTTCCCTTCTTTTCTCTCCCCTTCCCCCTCTCCCCCCCCCTCCTTCGTTTACCCAACCCAACTGCACCTCCACTTGTCCACTTCTCCCCCTCTCCCTCCCCCCCCTCGTCTCTTCAAGTGCACCTCTTGTCCCCACTTCTTCCACTCTCCCTCCTCCTCCCTTTCCCTCGAATGGACCTTGTACTAGAAACCAGAATTGTTACAGCACACTAAGACTACGCGGCATACAGGTAGGCAAACAGTCTACGGCAGCTCGAGCAGTGGCTGGAGCACGTGCAAGAGGTCCCCAGTGTCAAGTGGCTCCCCCTGGAAGGGAGTGGGGGCTGCCCCGGCCTCAAAGGCCGCCAGCGGCGTCTTAGCGACTAGTGCGTTCGCTTGTGTGCGTTGCGTTGCAGGGTAACCGACCACCGCTGCCTGTATGAGTGGTAAAGTTTCGCACCTTCCCTTCCCTGGACGTGGGCTGCTGCGCGTTGTGCAGGCGCTCTGCTGCGAGGTTAGCGCAAAGGCGGAGGAAGTCAAGCACCCCGGGCTAGCACTGCCCATACGTCTCCACTGCCCATACGTCTCCACTGCCCATACGTCTCCACTGCCCATACGTCTCCACTGCCAACGCTAGGAACCCGACCCACGCTATTCGGTTGCAATACTTGTGCTCCTTCCCCGCGCGGCAGCGGCGGCAGCCCAACCTGGCGCCCGTCGTGCAAGTTGATAAGGAGGGTGACCCCTTGCAAGTTGATGGAGAGTCACCCTCCTTATCAGGGAGGGTCCTGATGGGAGATGGAGTCTGAGACTCTCCCTCCTCCTGGCTCTCCTTCTCCCTCCTCCTGGCTCTCCTTCTCCCTCCTCCTGGCTCTCCTTCTCCCTCCTCCTGGCTCTCCTTCTCCCTCCTCCTGGCTCTCCTTCTCCCTCCTCCTGGCTCTCCTTCTCCCTCCTCCTGGCTCTCCTTCTCCCTCCTCCTGGCTCTCCTTCTCCCTCCTCCTGGCTCTCCTTCTCCCTCCTCCTGGCTCTCCTTCTCCCTCCTCCTGGCTCTCCTTCTCCCTCCTCCTGGCTCTCCTTCTCCCTCCTCCTGGCTCTCCTTCTCCCTCCTCCTGGCTCTCCTTCTCCCTCCTCCTGGCTCTCCTTCTCCCTCCTCCTGGCTCTCCTCCTCCCTCCTCCTGGCTCTCCTTCTCCCTCCTCCTGGCTCTCCTTCTCCCTCCTCCTGGCTCTCCTTCTCCCTCCTCCTTGCTCTCCTTCTCCCTTCCTCCACTCTAGTGCACAAGCCACAGCGGGGTACTGTGGATGGCGGGACAGCTGGGTCTGGACCCGCCAGTTATGGAGCTGGTGGGGGGAGGGGCGAGGAGACACACAGAGAGGGCTCTGAGGAGCTGCGACCAATTAGCATTCTTTGCTCACGCTCCCCCTCTTCCCCCTCTCCCTTCCCCTTCCCTCCCCCAGTGTACGAGCTTCAATGGCGTGCTATGGATGGCGGGTCAATTGGGTCTGGACCCGCCAGTTATGGAGCTGGTGGGGGGAGGGGCGAGGAAACAGGCAGAGAGGGCGCTGAGAAGCTGTGAGGCTGTTGCTGCTGTGGTGAAGGGGAGAGGGGGCGCTCTTGGGTGGGGGAGAGGCGGGGGCGGGAGTGAGGAGGAGGGGAGTTGGGGGGTAGAGAGTGGAGGGGGAGGGAGTTGTGGAAGAGAGGGGTGGAGGAAATGGGTTCGAAAGGGGTGTTAGAGTGTGGGGAGGGATTGTATCGCGATAACAGTGTATCTAGCAAGGGATGTGGGTGTGGGGGAGAGGGAGGAGGTGGCTCGGGCAGTTGAGGAGTTTTTTGCAGCTGCCCAGAGGAAGAGGAGGGAGATCTGGGCAGAGGAAGTCGAGCGAAGTGGGAGGGGGATGAAGGGGGAGATAGCGGAGGGGAAGGGAGGAAAGGGAGCAGGGGACAAAGGAGGTGGAGGAGGGGAAGAGGCGGTTGAAGGAAGAGGGGAGGAGAAGCGTGATGGGGAGTGGGGCGTGGGGCAATGGTGGGTGGTGGGGCATGGAGGGGAGGAGGGCGGAGCGGAGGAGCGTGAAGAGAAGAGTGGAGAGGAGAGTGGAGAGGAGTCAGCTGCAGCTGCAGTTGGTGGCGGGTCAATGGTTACTGGTGCTGCAGCAAGAGAGAGAGGGGGAGGAGATGAGGAGGAGGAGGAAGAGGAGGGAGAGGGAGAGGGAAATGAGGAGGAGGAGGAGTCAGTGGGGGTGATAGCAACAGATGCGTTGCTGCAGTTTGTGGTCGTACCAGGACTGCCTAAAGGGTACATGCCCTGCCTGCTCCTCACTACCCCCCACTACCCCCCACTGCCCCTCACTGTCCCTCAATGCCCCCACTTGCATGTCATTCTTTTTCCCTTTTCTCTACTCCCATCACTGAAGCACATGTGGACTCCAGCTGCTTCCATTGCATGCCCCATCCTCGTCCTTCTCGATTTCCTCCTCTTCCTCCCTCCTCCCCCACCATTACCCGTCCTCTTCCTCCTCTTCTCACTTGTCTCTCTCCTGCCCTTGTCCCCTCCTCTGCCGCTCCTTTCCGCTTCCCCGTCCCAATTTCATTCCTCATCGCCAGTGCCCAGTGTCTCATGGTGCAACTGCCCAGTGTCTCATGGTGCAACTGCCCAGTGTCTCATGGTGCAACTGCCCAGTGTCTCATGGTGCAACTGCCCAGTGTCTCATGGTGCAACTGCCCAGTGTCTCATGGTGCAACTGCCCAGTGTTTCATCTCCCTCTACCACCTCCCAAATTCTTCTCAATCACTTTCCGCCTTTCCTTTACCCGTTTTTCTCTCTGCCCAACTACTCCCCCAATCCCATCCGCCCATCCCCATTCCCTCAGCGCTCCTGTTGAGATTGCTCCTCTCCTTGCTGCCCGATCTCTCCCCTCCTCCTCTTCCGCCACCCCATCTGCCCCGTGGCCGAGCTCCCTCACCCCCCTGCACCTCCTGTCCACGTCAGCAGCCTGCCACCTGTCAAATACAGACACCCACACGTCAGCTTTAGGGAATCAGCTGGCAGGGATGAGCTTGGGTGAAGGAAAAGAAGGGCACAAGTCAGCAGAGGCAGAGAAAGTGGTCGGGGCAATGGATGCTGACAGAGTTGAGGGGAACAGAGCAGGGGCAGGCAAGGGGGAGAGGAAGAGGAGAGCGGCAGTGGAGGGAGGGGCGGAGGGGGTGAGCATTGTTGGGCAAGCCACGGCAGCAGCAGGTGCTTTCTGTCGCGTGCACCTGTGGGTGGAGCAGGCAATGGGGGAGAGGACGAGGGGAAAAGAACAAGGGAGAGAGTGTGAAGCGCAGCACCCTCTTGCGCGTGGGGTGGAGGCAGGGGATGGTGCTGGCTTTGAGGGGGAGGCCAGGGAATCACTCGCTGACAGCTCTGTCGATGGGGTTGCAGGCAGATGCGTCGGAGTGCTGTCAGATGCCCTCCACGTGGCACGACTTGATTGGCCCGATGTTGCGGTGAGGTTTCGCATATCTGCTTCCCTCATGTGTGCTGATTGTATGCTTCCATGTGTGTCTCCGTCCTATCAGGCGCCTGAAAATTCATCTTTAGAGGCAACTCAAAAGTCATATCTGCTACCCTGAATGTGTGCTGATTGTTTGCTTTCATGTGTGTGTCCATCCGTGCCATGTTTGGAGGTGGTACAATAAGGCTGTTCATAGCATATCATGTCATGTCATGTCATGTCATGTCATGTCATGTCATGTCATGTCATGTCATGTCATGTCATGCCATGTCGTGTCAAGTCATGTTGGTAGGTGGATCGCATTTTATATCATGGTGAGCAAGAGGACAGTAATGACATGGCATGCAACCATGACCATAACTCCCTTGCATCCACCTCATAGCCAACCCATAGCCATCCCTCCTGCCATTACTCTAAACCCGAAACCTTGTCGGCACTCTAACCCTTGACTGGCAACTCCTTGACCGCCTTCCCCATTACTGCAATCTTCAACCACGTGGCTTTACTTCCCTCTCCCTAATGTTCTTTCTGGTTACGGTACATGTAGGCTGCTGCCTTTCCTGAAAAGAGAGTCACACGCTGCTCTCCGTGTCCTTCTTCCTCCCCTCCCCTCTCGGGCCCCCCTCGTCAACCCCACAGATGCTCCGAGTGTATGTGGCAGCGGGAGGGCCTATCCCCATCCCTGTCCTGCCCTCACGACTCATATTTCCAAGACCCTGCACAACCGAACCCAGTCCCTACCCTCCCAAGAGACACCTGCTTCAGGCCACCAGCATGGCTCCGCTGCTGCTGTGCCGTGCCCAATAGTGGTGCCGGTGACAGCAGTGGGACCCACAGCTGCTGCTGATGCTCTCCTGGCGGTAGAGATGACGGCTTTTGTAACTTAAGCCAAGTCATCATTGTCGTTACACCCGTCTGGCCATATTGACACCATTTAACAGTAGTGACACTGTGTGGCCTGCAGATGTGCCATGAAAGGAGCGCACTGCACTGCTGACAACTTACCAGTATATCTGGGTTCTCTGTATACTCTTAAAACGATAGAAAGTAAGCAATGTGAACTCTTGAGACAATGAGAGCATTTCAGTACACTGCCTTCATATATTGAATTCAGATGCAGTACCATGTGTTTTGACAAGCATCCACGTGCACATTCTAGTGAAATCCAAATGCGCTGGTCAGCATCTATGCAAGCAGGCACAGCACCTGAAGCTCCAATTGGGGCACTTCCAAACCTTTAAACCACTGCCTCACGGAACCTTAGCATGTGAGGATGCATGTATCAAGTAGGGGAGGTGGAGAAAGGTGGAGGGAATAGTAAGACGAGTGAGGGGAAGAGGGAGGGAGGGAGAGAGGGTGGGGAAAGGGTGGGTGGAATGAGGGGAAGAGAGAGAGGAGAGGGGAGAAGGCGGGGGGTGCGGGTTCATGGAGCGGGGAGGGTAAAGAGCGAAGAGGAACTGGAGGGCGGTGAAGGAAGCGAGGGGAAGAGAGCCAACTGAAAAAAACTCAATCATCACTCGCTTATTCCACATTTCGAAGTCGAAAACAACCCTAGCCATCAATCTAACACCCACGTTTCTGGTGACAGATACGCTACATCTGAGACGCCCTACGTCCCAAAATCCTAAGATCTACCTAACCCCCGATCCCACAGCCGTCATCTTTGAATGCTCTGAAATTTCCGCACGACCAGTCCGCTGACATCAAGATACCGCTGCGCGCAGTTGCTAAGGCAGGAAGACTCCGATCCGCTAAACTTGGTTCCCGGCGCGGCCGTAACGCACTTGTCCCAGCACACCTCCGTGAGCTTCGCCACCAGCTCATTCAACATCGCCTTCTGCTTCTCCTGCTCCAGAAACTGCTGTAGCTCAAAGCTCGCTCGCTTCTGATCCGCGTCCATAATCGATGATGGAGTATATCACAGAACGACGAAAGATGCTAGATCGAACCGCAGAAGAGAAACGGAAGGAATTGGGTGGCGTGGATGTACACGAAACGAACGTGGAATTTTTTAGACTCGAGAGTGTGTTCTTGTGGTTTGTCTGGGGGCTTTCGAAAGATCCGATCGCATTCCTGGCCCGGACACCATCCGAAGTTCGCCCACCTGAAGGGTTCTTAGCGTGAGGATGGTGTCCGTTTCGGGGAATGCCCCACCTCGGACATTAGCATACGACCGCTGTCGCGCGTGTCGTCCTCTGGCGTCGAAATGCTGTTTGGGTTCGCGATCAATCGGGGAATGATGCTACAATGGTTCTATCGTCAACTCCTAACAGCCAAAGCTGACTGTAGTGCACTGAAAAACAAGTCAGGTAAATTTTTTCGGGCTGTTTGTTTGGCATATGAGCGGGTGAATTATCAATTTACTTGGATTGGGCAGCAAAATATGGAAACGTGCCGGCAGCCCAACACTCTGGGGACAAAGGTGATGACGTGTAACGAAATATGGTTTGTTGCAAGATCGTACAGTTCAATATTTGACGTGCAAGTTGGTCGCACGTTCGGTGGCCGCAAGAGTGTCCCGACTTCGAACCGTGTGGGGCTATTCAAATGTTCATTTTCGAAATTGCGGACCGCGTGGCCAAACCTCGGATGGTGTCCGTGCCATGAATGCGATCTCAAGCACTCTCTCATTATGGAGCTGTCTAGCAGGTCGCACTTTTGGTGTGACTCATTACAGTGTTCGCTTTAAGGGACGGTTTGCTGAAGTTTTGTGACTTCCGCAGTGCATTATGTATCAATTGCAAACTTCATAAAAATACTTCATAGAAATGGAAGTTTACTCATAAAGAACATCAACGCATTGCTTGGTAGCACTTATTCCCTGCCAATATGTCATACCTCCCTACAAATAGTTTCACCATTGCATGTGCGTACCAAGCTTCTCCATAGCTTTATACCATCTCCAGTTCCCCACTTCGTTATCCCCTTTTACCAAAGGCATAACATCACCAGCACAACAATAAATCCTGAAAACGCTGAACTGGTTCCTGAAGATGCACCCTTTGTTTTAGCCACAGAACCTGTGTTTGAACCTGTAAAACACAGGTTGAGCAATGGAAATACGATTGACATAATGACAGCAGGACGTTACCTGAAGGTTCTTGGGGTTCGTTGAGCGATCCAGGTACACCATCAGTCTTATTGGTAGGCGATGGAGATGGTGCTGAAGCTGGGCTAATGGAGCTTGATGGTGCTGGACTTGGTGCTGAAGCTGGGCTAGTAGAGCCGGCTGGTGCTGGACTCGGTGCGGAAGATGGTGCATGCCTTGTCGAATTTGCTTTTGCCGAAGGTGCCGGACCAGGTGTGGAAGAGGGCGCTACCAATGAAGGGGCAGGTGCTGGTGCAGGGGACGATGGCTTTGCCGAAGGCGATGGAGCTGATGCATCTGGTCCTTGGACAGGTGGCGCAGCCACCGGAGATGGTGGAGATATAGCGGTCAAGTTAATGGATGCCTGCGTACTTCAAGTTAGAATATGAATAGAAGGCTTCAAGCAAGCAATTCTTACATTCGCAAGTGGAGGCACAGCGTCGCACAAGAAGAACACGGATTTGTAGACGCTCTTGAAGTGCGCTTGCGCGATTCTCATAGTGACGACATAGTAACTGCAACAGATTGTCATGAGTCAAGAGCATGCAAAATGCGCTGATATTCTATAACAGAAACTTACCAGTCGCTGATCTGAGAATCGTTTTCTGTCAGCATTATGGCAGCGTCGAGAATACTTTGACCACACGCAGAAGTCGATGCTTGAGGCGAAGGGTTGGAGCACTTCGCGTTATTGCATGAAGCTGACAATGATCGGTAGCTAACAACCGAGCCGACATCTTCGTAGCTTGTTAAAGGACAGGTGCTTTCGGTGATGTTCTTTTCTGCAAGAGGGAACAGCCAATAGCCGCTACAGAGGCCAAAGACATCCACCGTTACCCCTTTCTTCTGTAAAACCGTGCGGAAGGTGTTGCGACAAGCATTATTGTATGACGGACTCCCGACAATTTTCAAAGCGTCGGCAGATCCGTTATTGTAGCTTGCAGAGAGAATGTTAGTTTCCATCTTTCGAAGCGACTGACAGCAGGATTCGGGGTTCTTAACCAATCCTTTACAAGAAGACACATCGTTCCTCATGACGCTGTTGAAGTTTGCTGGACAGACTGTTCGCTGACCAGCAACAGCTGCAAAAGACAGGCAATGTCAGAGACATTACGTCTATCGTTATCGTCTGACAAATGAGCTACTACCAAGCCTTACCTCCAAGCCATAGAAGCTGGAAAAGCAGGAGAACAGTAAAGCGAGTCATGGTTGAACCTTGGGTGGAAATGCAAGAATGCCTGGCCAAATCGCTCCATTTGAATGGAGGGGGGACAGGTCAGCACTGGAGTCAGTGCCTGATCCATCCAAAACAATGCATGACTACATTGCTGGCACGGTTACCAGATGTTACAAATCTTTCGAATCATCATCACCATTTTGAAAATGGCTAAGTTCATTCCGCACTCCATTTCGAAGCCGCTGATCCTGGGGTCAAGTTCATTTTGCACATTACTATCCCAATCGCTGCTGGGCCCTTCGCGAACTTTGTCCCTTCTCTGACACCATACAAATTCGTGCCCGTGTGACCCAGCAACTACATTGAACCGAAAACCGACGCCTTGAACACGCGTTCAGTCCAATCTGAAAAGAAGCCCGTAGGCACTGGACGCTTCTCTGTGCTGTAGCGCCAAGAGGTTCACCTCCAGAGTGACGAAAGCGTTTTCCGGGACTAGAGAAATAGTCCCTGCTGTCGGATTATCACGACTTGGTTTCTAGCCTTTGGCGATAGCTGTGATTCCGCATTGCCTGTCAGGTCGTAGGCAGCTGTTGTTCGAACGCAGGTCGTTTCCGCAGTCCTACACTGCGGTTCCAGAGCCTCATTGCTGTTTCGCAGCGCGTTTTAGTGTCGTCAATTAAGATTTATGTTTCATCTATAAGGAGGTTTCTGTCAGCGCACATGGCGGATAAGCACTTCGAGCCTGTTCCGCGCGACGCGAAAGTGGTCGCGAGTATTTTAAAGTCGATGGGTGTGGAAGATTACGAGCCACGTGTCGTCCATCAGGCACGTGTGACTGTACTGTCAGATTCAGTAAAGTCGATTTCCGATGCGAACGTTATAGCATGCTCTCTTGAGTTGTCGGACATGCCTTCGTTCTATCAGAAGAATCAGAGTTTATCTGTTCAACTAGCAGCAGGGTCCGGCTTGTGTGCATGTGAAGGATGATGCTTGCTAGACTGAGATTGAAGATGCGAGTCGGGCCTCTCTCTCACCCTTTCGCGTTCCGTTTTCCCTTGCAACGTATCTTCCCTGTTCCCATTCCTCGTACCCCATTCGACCCTTCTCCCTACCTCCCTGGGACGGACACGCTGGGCGAGGCCCGCATGTACGCGAAGCATGCAACGTCACCCTCCTCCCTACCTCCCTGTTTCCTAACTATTTTCTTCCCTCCCACCTGATACGGAATGCAGCTTCTGGATCTTGCCTAGCGATACATGACGGACGTGTTGGGCAAGGCTCGCGTGTAAGCGTGTTCCCCTCATCACCTCCCTTTTCCCTTCCCCATCCTATCCCTTTTGCCTATCCCATCTCCATCAAGCTCTTGGAGTTTGCCTACCGCTACATGACGGACGTGCTGAGCGAGCCCCCGTGTACTCAGAACATGCAGATTCGTTCCCCCTCATACCCCTTCCCTCAGACCCTTACCTTTCCCACTCCCTCCCTCCCTACCACGCACCCACCACCAGCTTCTGGAGTTCGTCTACCGCTACATGACAGACATGCTAGGCGAGGGCTGCGTGTACGCATGTTCCAACTCCATCTCCCCTACCCCATTGTATCCTATTACCACCCACACCACATCAGCTCCTGGAGTTCGCCTACCGCTACAAAGTGGACGTGCTGGGCGAGGCACACAGTCGTACACACGTGTACCCCTTTCCAACTACCTCTCCCCCCCAACCCGTCTTCCCTCCCTCCCATTCGCCTATCGCTACATGACGGACGTGCTGGGCGAGGCCCGCGTGTACGAGGAGCATGCAGCTCCATTCCCCTCTCCAACTTTTTTTTTTTGTTTTTCACCCTACCCTGTTCCCTTCATCCCACTCACACCAGCTCTTGGAGTTCGCCTATCGCTACATGACGGACGTGCTGGGCGAGGCCCGTGTGTACGCGGAGCATGCAGGGCATGCGGCCCTGGAGGTGGACGATGTGCGCCTGGCCGTGCAGGCCAAGGTCTCTACTTCCTTCTCCCAGCCTCCACCCAGAGAGGTAAGTGGCAGGGGCACATATGAGTGTGAGGGAGAAAAGGGGGGTTAGACGCAAGGTACGTGGGTTTTACTTTTGAGAATTCTCAAAAGTGACAAGGGGGTTTAGACGCAACACAAGGTACCTTGTCTGAAGGTCGGCCCTGGAGATGGACTATGTGCGCCTGGCCGTGCAGGCCAAGGTGTCCTCCTCCTTCACCCAGCCGCCGCCCAGACCGGTAGGAACGAAGAGCAGGGCAGCGTAAGGTGAGCCGGTGAAGAGAGTTAGAGAAGGGATAGGAAGCAGGATGGGTGGACAGCAGAGAAATGCTCCAAGAAGAGACAGGCATGAAGGACTTGGTGATGAGAGAGGCCGTAGCAGTGTGCATATCCCGTTTTGCCCCTCAGGTGATGAGAAAGGCACATGATCTCATTGTGTCCTTGTCTTGTCCCTTCATTCTTAGATAACCGCAAGACTGACAGAGCTCTTACACTCACGCTGAACCAAGCGAAATCTGATGATGCACGAAGCAGATCAAAGAAAATACCTCAACGAAGTTAGTATAATGCTCATCAAGAGGTTGGTGAAAGGAAGTAGACAAGGGTCGCTTTACTGGGTACAACTCCTTTTCCCTGTTACCACCGCAGGGAAAGCAGAGCAGTGACACACAGATTGCTCACACATTGGTGTTGCCTTTCCGATGTTCTCGTCTGCTCTCACTCGAGTCGCGTTACCTTTTGCCTATCACGTTTCGCCCCTCTCAGGTGCTCATGGAGCTGGCCCGAGCACGCAACGCTGTGCCCATCCATCTGAGCACCTTCCATTGCAAGTAGCCTCACTTCCTTTCAACTCATACTTCGCCCCTCTCAGGTGCTCATGGAGTTGGCCCGAGCACGCAACGCCGTGCCAATCCCACCCATTGCCGGGTCGGGCCTCTTTGCGCTGCCACCCGAGGCCGAGTGCCTGCTACAGCCCAACGTGCAAATCGCTGTCCCTCTGCCCGGCCCTGCTGCCCGTGGTACGTGATACGTTCCATGCCCCTCTGTTGTTAGGTGGTGGTGGTGGTAGGTGGTACATTATGGGCGGTAGGTGTCTAACCAGCTGCTCTTTGCCTTGCCCCCGTAGGCCGAGTGCCTGCTGCAGCCCAACGTGTGGTGTAGGTTGTAGGTGTCTATCACGCCAGCCAGTCTTTACGCTCCCCCCTGAGGAGTGTCTGCTGCAGCCCAACGTGCAGATCGCTGTCCCTCTGCCCGGCCCTGCTGCCCGTGGTACGTGCTAGATGCCATGTCCATGTTCACCTCTCTTCTCAGGTGGTGATGGTGATGGTGGTGGTGGTGTATGGTGGTAGATGGTGGTGTTATGTGGTGGTAGGTGTCTATCCCGCCAGCTACTCTTTGCCTTGCCCCCTGAGGCCGAGTGCCTGTTGCAGCCCAGCATGCAGATTGCTGTCCCTCTGCCCAGCCCTGCTGCCTGTGGTACGTGCCATACCCTATCACCCTTGTGTCAGGTGGTCGCTTGTAGCAGGTAGGTGGTAGGTGATTTTGTCTATCACGCAAGCTACTCTTTGCGTTGCCCCTTGAGGCTGAGTGTCTGCTGCAGCCCAGCATGCAGATTGCTGTACCTCTGCCTGGCCCTGCTGCTCGTGGTACGTGGTAAGTGGCATCTTCCTGTTCACCTCTCTTCTCAGGTGGTGGTGGTCATGGTAGGATGGTGAGTGTTAGTAGGTGGTGGGTATCTGTCACTACAACTACTCTTTGCGTTGCCCCCTGAGGCCGAGTACCTGCTGCAGCCCAACGTGCAAATCGCTGTCCCTCTGCCTGGCCCTGCTGCCCGCGGTATGTGCCACCCATGCCTGCCCATCACCCTTGTGTCAGGTGATAGGTGGTGGTAAGCGGTAGGTAGATGTCTGTCACGCCATCCAGTCTTTGCCTTGCCCACTGTGGCCGAGTGTCTGCTGCAGCCCAACGTGCAGATCGCTGTCCCTCTGCCCGGCCCTGCTGCTGGTGGTGGTGAGTAGTGGGTGCCATGCGCGGTCACCCTTTTTTTTTCAGGCGGTAACTGGTAGGTGGTGGTAGTAGCAAGTAGTTACATCAGCTGCTCTTTGCACTCCCCCCTGAGGCCGAGTGCCTGCTGCAGCCCAAAGTGCAGATTGCCGTCCCTCTGCCCGGCCCTGCTGCCCGGGGTACGTGCCATACCTTGGCACCCTCATCTTAGTTGGCATGACCTGCTGCGCATAATATGTGCCATCACCCGTCACCCGCATGGTAGGTGGTAGCTTAGGACGCGGCACCTCTAGGGAGGAAGCCAGGATCGTGGGAGGATCGAAGCTGTACACCGATTCAGACACATCGATCTGCACACCGGTGTGCACACACTGCAAATTTGCATTGTGGTAGACACACCGAGCCAGGAGTGCCAGGATCGAAATTGCAGGATCGGGTAGGTAGGACCCGCAGCGGAATACACCAACAACGGAAGCGTTATCCAGTCATAGCGAAGAACAACTGATCGTTATGCAATCATTTTCGGCCTGCGACCGTGGGCGACACGGATCGATCGTGGCTGTCACCTGTGGCACGATCGGCTCTCCCGCCACCCCAAACGCACGATCGATGTGTGCTCGGGGGCACATCGATTGTGCGAGCCGTAGGTAGGTGCCAACATTTCGGGGTACACTTCACTGTACACTTGCGAGTAGTGGCGAAACCGGATACCAGTCTCATGGCGATGTCACGATTTCACTGTACAAGCCAGGATCGATCCCCAGTCAGGATCGATTCTGGCTTCCTCCGTAGAGGTGCCGCGTCCTTAGAGCTGTCAGATGTTCAAGCTAGTGTTTGTGCGCACCCATGAAGCCGAGCAGCATGCAGATCGCTCTCCCTCTGCCCAGCGCTGCTGTGCATGGTATCTGCCATACCTGTTTGCCCTTTTGTTAGGTGGTAGGTGATAGGCGCTAGGCTTCTTAGTAATTCTTAGGCTTCTTAGGCTTCTGACGCCGAGTGTCTCTAGCATGCGCACGCACCAAAGGTTGGCTTCATGCTGTGAACATGTGGATTGAGCCTAATTCTCCTTTCCCTGTTATTGGTATCTTTTCCCCGATGATGCTCCAGGATCGCACAAGAGGCAGCGAGAGGGAGACACAGGAGGAAAAGCAGGAGGGCGGGGAGGAGGGGGGAAGGGAGGGGATGCTGCGGCAAGAGTAAAGAAGGAGCAAGGGGGAGCGGAGTCGCTACAAGATGGTAAAGCTGGTGTAGGGGGGGCTAAGGTTTCATTCTCCCTGGATGCTAGAAAACGATGATTGATGTAACAGTGTTACACAGCCTGATGGTTACGTGGAAAAAAATATACAGCATGACAAGCGGTATAATTTTGAAATGCGGTGCCACTAATCTGTAGAGATCGGGATTAGGAAGGGATTGCAGAATGGTCAACAAATATTTGGGGTTGAGCCTCATACAAGGAAGAAGTACAGTGATATTAGTGTTGAACAAATACGGTACAAGCATTGTGTTATGCACCGTAGATGTGCATCCCTAACCGATACAGCCCGAACCACATCCTCGTGACTTGCGGACCACTTGTGACAGGCTCGGCTCGGCATTCTCGAGGCTCTCACATTTCCGGCATTTCACTCGCCCCGAACAGCAACGCCATCAAGCCCCACAGCCCAAGCTATTTCCTGCGCCAATTGAATGTCTGAATGAATTTCTCTGAACCGCGACGAATTCTATTCAACAGCGTTGGAGTGGGACCTGACATTCCCTCCTAAAAGATTCAGCAAACCCATTGCCTGAATCACGTACCAAGGCAGAACACCACCGCAGACATCGGAACCTGTCTAAGCGCGCCGGATTCGCGGACCTCGCTCTGAGTCGTTCAAATCGGTCAATATGGAGAAGATACTTACGCTTTTCGCCGCGAGACGGTACAGCATATTGCGAAGAGTGCTCGACTGTTATGTATGTGAAGTAGGAGCGAGCCCTCCCTGGCATGGCGACGGTCGTAGGCATTTCCGAAGGAGAAAGCGAGCGGGAGACGGCGGTTCCTAGAACCATAGTAGCAGCTGACCAGAGATTCAGCGAACGAGTGAAGGTCGCATGTCGCCTGCGGCCGCCATCGCGAGCAGGACCGCTCGCCTGGGCTGTAGCTGCCAATGTACGTTTGTTAGTCGGTCTGGCGTTTTAACCGACTCAAAATTCTCGTCTCCGGAGGTTCTGTTCGTCGTTACCGCTCCTGTTGCTCCTGCTTTAGTCTCTGTTTCTGCATAGAGCGCGTCGCGCGCTAAGAGATTCCATCCTAGCCAACATCATCCCTACTGATCGTATACCTTGTTCTTCCCTCGTCGGACCGTCGCAATCGCGACGTTTGACGCCATTCTGACCTTATTTGTCACGGCAATAAGTTTCTTATTAGATTCTTCCTCATTACTTTACCTTTCTCCTTTCGTTTCCTGTTTCGTTTCCCTCGTCAGACCGTCGTCGCAGCACGCAATCCCAACGCGTTAACGCCGTGTCCGTCGCCGCAGCCCACTCCCCGCTCCAGCACCTCCGACTCCTCCTCTCCGAACTCGTCGCATCCCTCACGCTTTTCACACACACTTCAGCCGACTGCTCCCCTTCCTGCGAAGGCCCTGACCTTCGAGTTCAACCACGTGTTCGGCTATGACTCGTCCAATTTCGAGGTGCGCTCTATCCGGCCCGAGTTACGTTTTACTTCTTACAAACCATTTTATTTTATTTTATGTTGCCTTCAGTTCCCATTCCACCTTCATGAGTCACGCCACATTTATGGATACAAGAGAAGACGCTCCTATCGCTTTCCCTTTTTTCATATGACCTGCCCATTGTGGTTACCAGTCCTGGTTAGCTTTTCCCATCAGTCATGACTGTCAGTTCTGGTTACCTATCCTGGTTACCTACCCTGGTTACTAGTGCTGGTTACAGAGTCCTGATCACCAGTCCTGGTTACTCGTGCTAGTTATTAGACTTAGTGACCTCATCACGGCTGTCTGACTCTGCCTGAGCCTGCCATCCACCTGCTGCCTGGCAGGTGTACACGGAGTTCTGCAAGGGAGCGGTGGAGAGGGCTGTGGCGGGGTGCAGAGCGGTGGTGCTGGTGTACGGGCAGACAGGCACGGGCAAGACACATACCATCAGCGGAAGCAATGTGGAAGCGGGGGTCTTCCACCATGCCATGGCGGATGTCTTTCGGGCAGCACAGAATGATGACGTGTCTCGGTACAGTGCCAGCTGTCGGACTGCTGACGTCAGTGCAGCTGACCGTGAGGTTTTGGGAGCATTGGATCTGTCCACATTGGCAGCAGCAGACACGTCAGCATCAGCTGGGAATGCCATGTCATCATCCCCGAGTGAGGGGGGTTCTCCAGCAGCAAATCAATCGCCACCGTTGACGTGTTTCCTATCTGTGGTGGAGATTTACAACGAGAGAGCTGTTGACTTGCTGCAGGGAGTAAAACCCAGCTCAGAGCAATTGAAGGAGAATGGGAGCAGTCGCAGTGGCGACAGCTCCAAGACCAGTTCTGGCAGCAGCCTCTCACACGCAGCAGGGAGGAAGCTTATAACGGAGCACCAGCTGCACTCAGTTGAAGAAGCGGCAGTGGCGTTTGAGTTGGCAGGGCACAGGCGCAAGGTGCGGGGCACAAGCAAGAACAAGCAGAGCAGCCGCTCCCACATGCTCTATGCCATTCGGATCAGACGAACGCTTCCAGCTGTGCCAGTGAGTGGAGCAGAGGGGAGAGCGATGGTTGCCGACCAGAATGAAGGGCACTATAACGAAGTGTACTGTAATGAAGGGCTGTATAGCGAAGGGATGCTGTACCTGGTGGATCTAGCAGGCAGCGAGAGCTGCAAGGGAGAAGACGCAGCAACAGCAGCAGCAGCAGCAGCAGGGAGTGGAGCAGGAGCAGGAGGAAGAGGAGCAGGAGGGGGGGAGCAGCAGCAGGAGGGCCCATGGTGGGGCGGAGAGAGCCCTGTAGTGCCGCTCATCACAGGCCTTCCCACAGGGCCCCTCGTGCCGCCCCTGGCCCACCGTCAGAAGCAGTACCAGCAGAAACTGGGACAGGCTCAGATGCAGGTGCTGCCGCAGCAGCAGCAAGAGCAGCGGCACAAGGTGCAGCGGCAGGTAGGGGGGCAGAGGCGGGTGGGGCAGAGGGAGGCGAGGAGGAGGGAGACGGAGAGCATCAACAAGAGCCTGCTCGCGCTCACCTCCGTCCTCACGCACCTCAGCCAGGCCCGGCCGGGCCTCCCGCCGTATCGCCGGTCGCTGCTGACGCGCCTGCTGCAGCCGTGCCTGGGTGGAAGTTTTGGTAGTGGCATCAGCGGCAATGGAAGAAGCAGTGGTTACTGTGCGGTGCTGTTCTGTATCGACCCTCAGGACGTCCACGTCAGCAAGACCACACTCAGGTGAGTGTTGTGGTTCCCCCTACTCTCAGGTGAGGTTTGAGGTGCCACAACTCTCAGGTGAGGCGGCCTCTCTTCAACCACTATTGCCTGTTATTGCAAGAAGTCTTATGCAATTGTATGTCTAAATATTCACTTGTCCCAACCAACCCAACCCAACTCAACCCATCCACTATTGCCTCTACCTTGCTTTCCCTCTCACTGTTATCCCTCGGCCCGTTTTTTCCAGGTATTCTGCCATGACGCGACGAATTCGCATGGACTATCACCCTTCGATACTGTCACTCTCCGCGCCCAAGCATGCGCCACCAGCCGTCCACAAGCCAACCAAGCGCCGGCCATCAAAGGCCTGCGCTTCCGAGACACACTCGCACAGCCCCACACCGGCAAAAAGGGAGAGTGGGCAGAAGGGTGTGCGGACAGGTGTGAAACGGGTGAGTGGCGTGGAGGGGAAGAGCGTAAACGCAGAGGAGTGTGTGGATGAGGAAAGGAAGAGAGGGGGGACGGAGGAGGGAAAGGAGGAGCAGGGGGAGAAGATGGAAGAGGAGGTGAGAGTAGTGGTTGAGGAGAGGGAGGAGAAGCGGTTGGAGGAGAGGAGCAGGGAAGGTGAGGGAGAGGAGGAGAAAAGTCAAGCAGTGCAACAGGAGGTGCTGCTGAGCCTCCTGTTGCAGCCTCAGCAGGGCAGCGTGGAGCAGCAGGACCAGCAGCAGCCGCAGCAGCCGGAGCAGCAGCAGCAGCAGCAGCAGCAACTGCATCCCCAGTTGCAGCCTCCCCAGAAGCAGCCGCCCCAGCAGCAGCCGCCCCAGCAGCAGGCGCTCCAGCAGCAGCAACTGCAGTCCTCACGGCAACGTGGTATTCTGGCAAAGACACAGCAGCAGCACATGCAGGGCGGACAGTGGCACGTGCATAGGCCGAGGCATGTGGATAGCAGGGAGCAGCAGGTGTGGGCGTTGCAGCAGCGTGTGCAGCAGCTGCAGCAGCAGAACCAGCAGCTGCAGCGGCAGCGCCTGCAGCTGCTGCTGCTGTGGCGCAGAGGGAGAGCAGGCGGGCGAGGAGGAAGAGGAGGAGGGTGGGGGGACGAAGAAGGAGGTGCTGCTGATATGCTGCTGGCAGCAGGCGGTGCTGTAGAGGCACTGCTGGGAGCAGGTGTGGATGTTTCTTCTGAGTCCGGCAGCAGCAGCTGCAATGGGGCTTCACATGGGGAGAGTCTTACTGCGGCGCAATGTGGTCTAGAGAGAGGGGAGAGAGGACATGGAGAAGGGGACAGGTCCAAGGGAAAAGGTGAAGAGAGGGGGAGGAGGAAGGGGTGGGGCTGTGTTGGTGGTTACCAGGATGGTTCTGCTGCTGGTGCAGTGAGGAATGCACCGCCAGAGTGTGTTCTCTCAGACAAGGCTTCAGAAGATGTGCTTCAAACGAATGGAATTGAATTGGATGTGCTTCAGGAATGTGGGTTGAATGTGGGAGCTGCTGGGGTGGTGTGTGAAGGGGAGTCGGCAGGAGAAGCAGTGCTCGAGTGGTACAATGGCTACGGTGACTATAGCGATAAGGAGAATGCTTATAGCGAGTATGCTGCAACAACCCTGTCACCTGCGCTTCTGGAGCAGATAGGGCTGGGACTAAGTGTTTCTACCACTGGTTCTGCTGTTGCTGCTGCTTTTGACCCATCTTTCTTTGGTGCCTCCAGCAGCAACGGCAGCATTGGCGACAGCGGCTCTCTTTCTCCTCACAACAGCAGTTGTTCTCCCGACAGCGGCAGCGGCAACGTGTCCCCCAATCCCTCCTCACCTAATCCCTCCTCGCCCAACGCTTCCTCGCCCAACGCTTCCTCGCCCAAGTGCTGCTCACCTAATATCTGCTCTCCCAACACGTCCTGCTCTGA